TGCACCCCCATTGCCAGCCAATCAAATCTCCCCTCCCCATGACATCATCACACCACGAACCAATCAGGAGCCGCCATTGGGTCCAAAGAGCTTTTAATAGGAGGGCTCTGGGGCCACCCTTTCCTCCTCCTCCTGCCCCATATCTGGGGGTGCCCCGCGTGGCCCCGGCCCCACACGTATGGGGCCAAAGGGCTGGGTCTGCTCCAGCCGCAGCCATCCAGCACCACAGAGCTCTATGGGGCACAGGGCACTTAGGGGGCAGCCCCACACTTACTGGGGGGGGGGGGAAGAAGGAGGTACTTATGGGGCTGGGGGGGGAGGGGGTTGGGGGTCACTTATGGGGCTCATAAGGGCACGTATGGGGGTGGGGGTGTCACTTATGGGGCTGGGGCATCATGGGGCAGACCTGCAACAGGGGGCAAACAAACACACTTATGGGGCTGGGAGAGGACTTATGGGGCACAGAGGGTATTTATGGGGCTGGGTGGAACCACTTATGGGGCTGTGGCGTGTGCTAGGGGGATCACTTATGGGTCCCAAATGGTCACTTATGGGGCTTAAGGGGTCATGCAGCAGGGGTTCATTTATGGTGCCAGGGGGTGTTTGGGGGTCACTTGGGGGGCAGACACTTATGGGTCTGGGGGGGTTCACTTATGGGGCTCAAGGGGTCATGCAGCTGGGGTTCACTTATGGGGCTAGGGGGTGGTTGGGGATTACTTACGGGGCACAGGGGGCACTTGGGGGGCAGACACACTTGTGGGGCTGAGTGGGTGTTAGGAGTCACTTATGGGGCCCAAAGGATCATTTGTGGGGCTGGGGGTGTCACTTATGGGGAAGTCCACTTATGGGTCAGGGGGAGTCACCTGGGGGTAGACACACTTATGGGGCACAGGAGGGCAGTGATCGGGCTGAGGCAGGGGTTAGGAGTCACTTATGGGGCCCAAAAGGTCCCTTATGGGTTGGGGGGGGTCACTTATGGGGCTGCCCCCCCACTCACCCAGGCACAGGTAGAACAGCCTTCCCATGAGCAGCCGGGGGGCGGTGGGGGGCAAGATGGCCGCCAGCTCCCCCCCCCCCGGCTGCCGCGCCGCAGCTGCCACCAGCCTATGGGGCAGCCCCATAAGTACCCCCCCGCCCCCCACTTATGGCGCTGCCCTGTAAGTGGGGGGTGCACTTATGGGGCAGCCTCGTATGTGTGGGTGGGAGGCACTTATGGGGCTGGGGGGGGGGCACTTATGGGGCTGCCCCATAAGTGGGGGGGGGGCACCAACCTGCGCAGGGCGGCCATGTTGGGGGGGACAGTGGGGGGCAGCTCCGGTTCGGGGCGTTCAGGCAGCTCCGGGAGCGGGGGGGGTGGCAATGGAGGGAGGGGCCTGTGGGGCAGAGTGGGGGACCCATAAGTGTGGGGCTGGACCCACAAGTGTGGGGCAGAGCCCCCCCCCCCCACTCACCGCCGCTCCTCAGGGATCAGTAGACGCGGCCGAAGCTCCTCCTCTGACACCTCCAGAGACACCTCTATGGGGAGAGACCCATGAGCCCCACAGCGCCCCACAGCGCCCCATAGCGCCCCACAGACACCCCATAGCTCACCCGAGGAGGGCAGTGGGGGCAGACTCGGCTCCAGCGCCTCTCGCAGCACCTACAGGGCAGAGAAGGTGATCTATAGGGCTGAAAGGGGGAATCTATGGGGCTAAATGGGGATCTATGGGGCTGGGAGGGGGAATCTGGGGGACTAAATGGGGATCTATGGGGCTGGGAGGGGGTCTGTGCAGGTAAATGGGGACCTATGGGGCTGAAGGGGGAAGCTGTGGGGCTAAAAGGGGGATCTGTGGGACTGAGATCTATGGGGCTCAATGGGGCATCTATGAGGCTGAAAGGAGAGAGATCTAGGGCTGAAGGGGACAATCTGTGGGGCTGAATGGGGATGAGCAGGCAGGATTGATGGGGCAGGGGGGCATCTATGGGGATGAATGGGAATCTATGGGGCTAAAGGGGGATCTATAGGGCAGGAGAGCATCTGTGGGCCTGAATGGGAATTTATGGGGCTGAAGGGGGATCTATGGGGCAGGGGCCTCACCTCCACCTCACTGGGCAGCTCAGGGGGGACTGGGGGGGCCTCGATGTGGGGCAGGAGCCGGCAGCGATTCCATAGGGCCCAGAGGTTGGGGGGCAGCCACCCTATGGGGCAGAGCAGAGCCCGATAGAGCCCCATAGAGAGCCATTGAGCCCCATAGACCCCCACAGCGCCCCATAGCCCCACCACAGGTCGGCATCTCCAGCAGCTGCTTTGGGGTCCAGCGGCGCCTCTTGGGGGGCTCAGGCAGCACCTATGGGGTGCATCTCTAGCTCCTGCCCCATAGATCTATGGGGCTGCCCCATAGACGGGCCCCACTCACCAGGGGCTGACAGTGGCTCTCGGGCTGCAGGAGCTGGGCCTGGAACTGGGCCTGGGGCAGCTGGGGCTCGGGGTCGCTATGGGGCAGGCGGCGCCGGCGGCGGCGCCGTGGGGCAACAGGAGGCTACAGGGGGTATAGGGGCTTAGGGCCCCATAGAGACCCCGTAGAGACCCATAGAGGCCCCACACATACCGTGATAGGGGGCACCGCAGGGAGGATGGGAGCTGTGGGGAGAGGCTGCCCCATAAGTGACCGTGACCCATAAATCCCCCCCTCTGCCCCATAAGTGACCCCCCCAGCCCCGTGACCCACAGAAACCCGTATGTGCTCCCTGTGCCCCGTAAGTGCCCCATAGAGACCCGTGACTCTGTGGACCCATAAGTGACCCCCCCCCAGACCCATAAGTGCAGCCCTCTGCCCCATAAGTGACCCATGGTGACCCATGACACCCCCCAGACCTTGTGCCCCCCGTGCCCTGTAACTGCCCTTCTGAGCCCCATAAGTGCCCCCCTCTGCCCCATAAGTGACCCACAGAGACCTGTACGTAACCCCTTGTGACCCTCTGGGACTCCTATGTGTCTTCCCCAGCCTCATAAGTGCACCCTTCTGCCCCATAAGTGACCCCCCCAGACCCACAGGTGCCCCCTGTGCCCCGTAAGTGAACCACTGTGACCCATAAGTGACCCTCCCTAGCCCCATAAGTGACCCATAGAAACCCCTAAGTGCTCCTTGTGCCCCATAAGTGCTCACGTGGGACCTCCACCAGCTCCGGCACCTCAGGCACTTCCTTTTCTATGGGGCACAACCCAGGGTCGCTATGGGGCTGGGGAAGGTCAAGGCCTCTCCCCCGCCCCCCCAGCCCCATAAGTGACCCCTGCCCCATACCTGGGGGTACCAGTTCAGCCTCAGCCTCTCTCAGCAGCTCCAGCTCCCTCAGGGTCACCTCAGGCAGCTCCTCCTCCTGTGCCCCACAGCGCTATGGGGCTGCCCCACAGCGCCCCCTAACCCTCTATGGGGCAGCCCCATAGCAAGCCCTAACCTCCTGTAGGGCAGCCCCATAGCACCCCGAAACCCTCTAGGGGGCAGCCCCATAGCACCCCATAGGGGTCTAGTAACGCAAAGGGACATCAGGTCAACCACCACTGGAGTCCATAGAGCCCCATAACCCCCCATCCGGCTCCTATGGGGCAGCCCCATAAGTGCCACTATGGGGCAGACCCACCTCGATGCCGGGCAGCACCAGGGCCTCGGGCATTAAAGCAGGCACTATGGGGTGGGATCTATAGGGCAGGGATTGATGGGGCAGGATCTATACAGTGGGATCTATGGGGCAGTACCTGTGGCAGTGCTATGGGGCAGGCTCTATGTGGCAGTACCTGGGGCAGGATCTATGGGTCAGACTCTATGGGGCAGTACTTAGGGCAGTGCTAAGTGGCAGGATCTATGGGGTAGTACCTGGGCAGTGCTATTAGGGAGGCTCTATGGGGCAGTACCTGGGGCAGCGCTATGGCGCAGGCTCTATGGGGCAATACCTGGGGCAGGGCTATGGGGGGCAGGCTCTATGGGGCAGGCTCTGTGGGGCAGTACCTTGGGCAGCGCTATGGGGCAGGCTCTATGGGGCAGTACCTTGGGCAGCGCTATGGGGCAGGCTCTATGGGGCAGGCTCTATGGGGCAGTACCTTGGGCAGCGCTATGGGGCAGGCTCTGTGGGGCAGTACCTTGGGCAGCGCTATGGGGCAGGCTCTGTGGGGCAGTACCTTGGGCAGCGCTATGGGGCAGGCTCTATGGGGCAGTACCTTGGGCAGCGCTATGGGGCAGGCTCTATGGGGCAGGCTCTATGGGGCAGGCTCTATGGGGCAGTACCTGGGGCAGCGCTATGGCGCAGGCTCTATGGGGCAATACCTGGGGCAGGGCTATGGGGCTCGGCAGCTCCATCCCCATAACCCCAAAGAAGGGGTCCGGGGCCAGTTGCAGCTCCAGCATCTGGGCCTAGGCATCCACCAGCACCTGCAGGCCGAACACAGGGGACTATGGGGTGGCTATGAGGCACTCTGTGGGGCTCTATGGGGTCTCTATAGGGGTCCATGGGTTGCTACAGATATCGACGGAGTCCCTATGGGGCAGCCTTTTATGTTCTCTATGGGTCTCTATGGGGTACCTATGGGGGCCCTATACGGCCTCTAAGGGTCTCTGTGGGGTCTCTAAGGGTCTATGGGGCACTATGGAGTCTCTCGGGGGGCTCTATGGGGACTCTGGGGACTCTATAGGGGCCTCTAAGGGTCTATCCATGGAGTCTCTACTACAGATATCGACGGAGTCCCTATGGGGCAGCCTTTTATGTTCTCTATGGGTCTCTATGGGGTACCTATGGGGGCCCTATACGGCCTCTAAGGGTCTCTGTGGGGTCTCTAAGGGTCTATGGGGCACTGTGGAGTCTCTCGGGGGGCTCTATGGGGACTCTATAGGGGCCCTAAGGGTCTCCATGGAGTCTCTATGGGCGCTCTAAGGATCTCTATGGGGCTCTACAAGTCTCTACGGGGCTCTATAGGTCTCCAGGGAGCTCTATAGGGCTCTATGGGGCTCTGTAAGGTCTCTACGGGGGCTCTATAGGGCTCTATATGGGGCAGGGCGGGGGAGCTGGACCCGGTGCAGCCATGCCAGAACCAGTGCGGCCTCTTCTGAGGGGTGACCCACAGCAGCCTCAGCCCCACAGAGACCGATAGGAACCCCAAAGAGCCCCACAACCACCCTATAGAGCCCCATAATCCCAATAGCCAACCAACAGAGCCCCAAAAACCCCCACAGCCACCCTATGAAGCCCCATAACCCCCGACAACCACCCTAGAGAGCCCCATAACCCCCATAGCCACCCTACAGAAACCCGTAACGCCCACGCCCACCCTATAGAGGCCCATAACCCTCCATAGCCACCCTATAGAGCACCATAACCCCCACAGCCAACCTATAGAGCCCAATAAACCCCCACAGTCACCCTATGAAGCCCCATAACCCCCATAGCCACCCTATGGAACCCCATAACCCCCAACAACCACCCTAGAGAGCCCCATAACCCTCCATAGCTACCCTACAGAGGCCCATAACCCCCACAGCCACCCTATGAAGCCGGATAACCCCCGACAGACACACTAGAGAGCCCCATAACCACCCACAGCCACCCTACAGAACCCCATAATGCCCACGGACACCCTACAGAGCCCCATAACTAACCTATAGAGCCCCATAACCCCCATAGCCTACCTATAGAGCACCATAACCCCCATAGCCACCCTACAGAGCCCCATAACCACCCGATTCCCCCATTAACCCCTAATTAACTCATTAATAACCCAATTCCCCATTAACCCCTAATTGCCCCATTAATAACCCGATTCCCCCATTAACCCCTAATTGCCCCATTAATAACCCAATTCCCCATTAACTCCTAATTGCCCCATTAATAATCCAATTCCCCATTAACTCCTAATTGCCCCATTAATAACCCAATTCCCCATTAACCCCTAATTGCCCCATTAATAACCCAATTCCCCATTAACCCCTAATTGCCCCATTAATAACCCAATTCCCCATTAACTCCTAATTGCCCCATTAATAACCCGATTCCCCATTAACCCCCAATCACCCCACATTAACCAATTACCCATTAACCCCCAATCACCTCTCATTAACCCGTTACCCCACATTAACCCCCAATTACCCATTAGCCCCTAATTGCCCACATAACCCCCTAATTAACCCCACATTAACCCCCAATCACCCCGCATTAACCCGTTACCCCACATTAACCCCAAATTACCCCACATTAGCCCCTAATTGCCCACATAACCCCCCAATTACCCTTAATGAACCCATTCAACCCCACCCATTAACCCTTAAATCCCCATTAGCCCCTAATTGCCCCATTAATAACCGATTCCCCCATTAACCCCTAATTGCCCATTAGCCCCTAATTCCCCCTCATTAACCCAACTCATACATACTAACCCCCAATTACCCCACATTAACCCCCATTACCCCACATTAACCCCCAATCACCCCTCATTAACCCCAATCACCCATTAACCCCCAGTTACCCCACATTAGCCCCTAATTGCCCACATAACCCCCTAATTACCCCTAATTAACCCCACATTAACCCCCAATCACCCCACATTAACCCCCAATTACCCCACATTAACCCCCAGTCACCCCACATTAACCCCCAATCACCCCGTATTAACCCGTTACCCCACATTACCCCCTAATTGCCCACATAACCCCCAATCACCCCACATTAACCAATTACCCCACATTAACCCCCAATCACCCCACATTAACCCCCAATCACCCCTATTAACCCGTTACCCCACATTAACCCCCAATCACCCCACATTAGCCCCTAATTGCCCACATAACCCTATTACCCCTCATTAACCCCACATTACCCCCTAATTGCCCACATAACCCCCAATCACCCATTAACCCCCGTTACCCCCCATTAACCCCCAGTCACCCCATATTAACCCGTTACCCCACATTAACCCCCAATTACCCCACATTACCCCCTAATTGCCCACATAACCCAATTACCCCTAATTAACCCCACATTAACCCCCAATCACCCCACATTAACCCCCAATACACCCCACATTAACCCCTAATTGCCCACATAACCCCCAATTACCCCTAATGAACCCCCAATTTCCCCATCCTTACCCCTCATCACCCCATTATCGACCCCCCTTTACCTCCCTAATGAGCCCCCCCCAGTACCCCGTTAATTAGCGCTAATTAGCGCTACTGAACGCACGCAGCAGGCACCGGCACTGCCGCCCGTAGACCCGCGCCAGCCCCAGCTGCAGCAGCGCCGCCAGGTACAGCGAGCACCGAGGGGGCGGGGCTCCGGCCGGCGGGGGCGGGGCCTCCCACCCGCCTCGGCCACTCACGAACGCCGACACCGCCGCGCTGCAACGAGGGCAGCCAATGGGGGGGGAGCGCGGTCGGACGCCGCGGCCACGCCCCGCCCCGTTGAGGCCACGCCCCCCCCCCGGTGTTACCAAAGCCGCGGCACGTCCACGCTGAGATATTCCCGCCGCAGCACGCGCGAGCTGCACGTGGCCGCCAGCCTATCAGAGCGCGGCAGAGCAGTGAGAGGCGCGATGTGATTGGCCCGCGCGGGAAGCCACGCCCCCCCCCGCCCCTCCGTTGCCGTGGTTACCAGATGACGCCGAAGCAGCCCGTGTGCCGCTGCAGCACGGCCGGGTAGTAAAACATGGCGGCGGTGGGCGGGGCTTGCGCACGGGGCGGGGCCAAGGAGCGCGGGAAAAGCTGTCAGGAAAGGGGGGGGGAGAGGGTTTGGGGTTCAGGGGGTTAAAACGGATTAAAACTGCTTAAAATTAATTAAAACTGCATTAAAACGGATTAAAACGGGATTAAAACGAATTAGAAGTGGATTAAAACCGATTAAAAGTGGATTAAAGCCGATTAAAATTAATTAAAACGAATTAATAGTGGATTAAACCCGATTAAAATGAATTAAAAGTGGATTAAAGCCGATTAAAATAAATTAAAACAAATAGTGGATTAAAGCCGATTAAAATGAATAAAAAATGAATTAAAGCCGATTAAAATAAATTTAAACGAATTAATAGTGGATTAAATCTGATTAAAATGAATTAAAAGTGGATTAAAGCCGATTAAAATAAATTAAAACGAATAGTGGATCAAACCCGATTAAAATGAATTAAAAAAGGATTAAAGCCGATTAAAATAAATTTACACGAATTAAAAATGGATTAAATCCGATTAAAAGAAATTAAAATTGGATTAAAACCGATTAAAATTACTTAAAACTGGATTAAAACCAATTAAGTGGAATAAAACCGGTTAAAATTAATTTAAAAGAATTAAAAGTGGATTAAAACCGATTAAAATAAATTAAAACGAATTAAAAGTGGTTTATAGCAATTTAAAAGTGGATTAAAACCGATTAAAATTCCTTAGTACTCGATTAAAACCTATTAAGCGGATTAAAACCAATTAAAATGAATTAAAAAGAATTAAAAGTGGATTAAAACCGATTAAAAGAAAACGAATTAAAAGTGGTTTATAGCAAATTAAGTGAATTAAAACCGATTAAAATGGATACGAATGAATTGTAAGTGGATTAAAACCGATTAAAATGGGTAATAGAGAATTAAACCCGATTAGAATTAAGCAAATTAAAACGAATTAAAAGCTGTTTAAAACGAATTAAAGTAAAAATAAAATGCAAGGTGAATTAAAATGAATTAAAACAGCATAAAACAATGAATAAAAATACGAATAAAATCGAATTCAAATTAAAACGTATAAAAAGGGAATTAAAAGCGAGTTACAGTTGATAAAATTATTTAAAAACCTTAGAAATAAAAACGAATAAAGCGGAATAAAACTCGAATGAAAGTGAGCACGAATAAAAAGTGACAAAGTCCAACTAGAAGAAAAATGAACTAAAATGAATTAAAAGCGAATTAAAATGAATTAAAAGCGGACTGGATTAAAATTCAATGTGAACCCATTAGGAGTGGATTAAAATCGACTTTCCATTAATAAATATGAATAAATAACGACTTAAAGCCAGCAAAATGGAATTAAACTGGGTGAAAAGTGAATAAATATCATTGAGTACACATAGAAGGGACTAAAACGCCACTGAATGTGACTAAAAACTGCATTAAAGCCCGGCTAAAAGTGAGTTAAAACTGATTTAAGTGAATAAATCGCAGATAAAAGGGGTTAAAAAGAGATTAAAAGCGGATAAATCCGAATCGAAGCCATTAAATCCGGCATAAACTGAATAAAAGCGAAGCAAAAAAGGCGAATAAATGGGATAAAAGGGGATTAAATGAGGGGGAAAGAGTGTAAAGTGAGTGGAAGTCGATATAAAAGTAATTAAACTCGATATAAACCGAATAAAACCCGACATAAAATGACTTAAAATCGATATAAAGTGACTTGAAGTCGATAAAAGCCGACAGAAAGCAACTTAAACCCGATATAATGTGAATTCAACCCCCCGGATCATCAATTCAACGCGAAATAACGCGAAATAACGGGGACAAAACGCCCCAAACCCTTCAGAGGGGTTAAAACAAGTCGGAATTGGGTTTAAAAGGGTGAATTTAGGGTTAAAAGGGAGGTTGAACCGCCCCCCTCCCTCCCTTACCGCCTGCGGCCGCCGTCCCACTCCGCAGGGCCGCCCCGCGCCGCCCCCTTTTATCAGCTCGGCAGCCCCGCCCCGCTGCCAATCAGCCCGCGGCGGGGGTGGGACTTAGGGAGGGGAGGCCAATGGGAGCTGGAGTAGCCGCAGCGGGCAGCCAATGGGGTGTGCTCCCGCTTGAAAGGCGGGGAAGGAGCGAGAAGGAGACAAGATGGCGGCGAGAGGAGGGAGAAGGAGACAAGATGGCGGCGTGAGGAGGGAGAAGGGGAAGGAGGGCAGACGTTTGGGATGCTCTGTCTCTGAACTAACCGGTAAGTGGAAGGGTGGTGTGAAATAACTCATTCACGTTTAAAGGGGCCACTAAATCCTGTTATTCAGTGAGGAGGGAGGCACGGACGCAGAGGGAGAGTGCAAGCTGGATCCTTTATGGAACAGATTCAGTTCCGGCATCTTCCAGGTGCCGCTCAGGGACAGGTCACTCTTCATTGCCTGCTGGAGCTCCTCCTTCTCATGGTCACTGACAGCTTTGGTACATTCCAACCCCCACAGGATACAGGGTCAGAGCCCCAAAACAGGACAAAAACACTTCAAAACGCCCTAAACAGCCCCAAAACCACACCAAAACCACCTTGTCCTGCTTCTCCTATGGGACACAGGTCAGAGCCTCAAAACACCCCCACAACAGCCCCAAAACAAGACAAAAACACCCGAGAACAACCCCAAAACCACCCTATCCTGCTTCTGCTAGGGGATACAGGGTCAGAGTCCCGAAACAGGACAAAAACAGCCCCAAAACACCTCAAAAAACACCCCAAAACCACCTTCTCCTGCTTCTCCTATGGGATACAGGGTCAGAGATCCAAAACAGGACAAAAACACCCCAAAAGACCCAGAACAATGCCCAAAACACCCCAAACCCACCCCAAATCCACCTTATCCTACTTCTCCTGTGGGATACAGGCTCAGAGACCCAAACTAGCCCCAAAACAGGCCAAAACCAACCCCAAAACCACCCCAGAACCACCCCAAAACCACCCTATCCTGCTTCTCCTAAAGGATACAGGGTCAGAGCCCCCCCCCCAAAAAAACAGGACAAAACCACCTCAAAAAAACAAAAACTACCCCCAAAACCACTCCCAAACCACCCCAGGGCCACCTTGTCCTGCTTCTCCTATGGGTGGCACCCAGTGAGAACCCAAAACAGCCCCAAATCACCCCAACCCCCCCAAAATGGTACCTTCTGGAGGTCGCTGTGGAGCTGCTTTAGCCTGGCCTCGAGCTGCGACACCTTCTGGGGTAGGTCCAAGGCTGGGGGGGGGGGGGGGCAAAGGGGAATGGGGGAGGGGGCACTGGGGTGTCCCCATATTGGGGGGGGTCCCAGCCCCACATGCGGGGGTCCCAGCCCCACATACAAGGGGGACATGGGGGGGGTCTCCATATAGGGGGGGTCCCTGTACCTGATGGGGGGGCGCCCCCCCGCAGCCTCTCCGGGGGTAGGGGGGGGTCAGGGCTCAGCACCGGTTCCGTGAGGGAGAACAGGGACACGGCCCTTTGCACTGGGGGGGTGGCACGTCAGCACCCCAAAACCAGACCAAACCAGCCCAAAATACCCCCAAACCAGCCCAAACCAGCCCAAAATACCCCAAAACCAGCCCGAAATCCCCCGAACCACCCCAAAACAGCCCCAAATACCCCCAAACCAGCCCAAAATACCCCAAAAGCAGCCCAAAACAGTCCATAAAATATGCCCAAACCAGCCCAAAATACCCCCAAACTAGCCCTAAACACCGCAGAACACTTTGAAACACCCAGAAAGCAGTCTGAAACACCCCAAACCCAGCCCCAAACCACCCCAAACCACCCCGAAACAGCTCAAAACACCCCAAACCCAGCCCCAAACCACCCCAAACCACCCCTGAAACAGCTCAAAACACCCCAAATCCAGCCCAAACCCCCTCCAGAACAGTTTAACATCCCCAAAACACCCTGAAACAATCCCAAACGCCCTCAAAACACCATGAATCACCCCAAAACACCCCTAAATGAGCCCCAACCACCCAAAGCACCCTGAAAACCAGTCCAAACCAGCTCCAAACCTGATGAAAGAACCTGTTTGTAATAGATTGATTTGGGTTTGGACCCTTCGAGGGTTTCAATGCCTCAGTGCTGCTCTTCACAATGGGGTTTCAGCATTACAGATGGGAAACTGACAGGAGATGGGGCTTATGGGATCTACGTGCGTGCTGTGAGGCTCCAGGGGGAGAATTGTAAGCAGTAAATCAAACCCACGCTTAATTGCAAGCTGTAGATTGGGAGCTCTCTGTTGAGAGCAAGATGGAGCTGGTTCTTCAAGGCAATGCGGTGCAGTCCCTCCCCCGAATCCTTGTGACCCCCTTCAGGCACTGGAAGCTGCTCGGAGGTCTCTTCTCCAGCCCCAGTGTTCTCAGCCTGGCTCTCAGCAGCTTCCTTCAAGGGGCTTCCATCACCTGCAGCAGCTCTCCTGATGTAGCACCCTCCATGGCCACCCCAGACCCATGGGGCCTGATGCCCACCCCACAGCTCTGCCACTCCCCCGGCCCCACAGCTTCCACGTCCTCGCATGAGGGTCCTGCTTCACCTCAATCCCAGGCGTCTCCATCACTCCCAACATTCCCACTGCCCCCAAGAGCCCTGAGACCCTCGCAGCATCCCATAACCCATCTGATAACCAGCAACCCACCCCACCCCAGCCATCTCCATCCATCCCAGTAGCACTAAGCCACCCCAATACTACATGGTATCGCAAAACCCAACCAACCCCAGGCATCTCCATCCCTTCCAATCCCCACGGTACCCCTAAACCATTCCAAAATCCACCTTGTACCCCAAATCCAAACAACACAAGGCATCTCCAACCCAGATGGGAAACTGATAGGAGAAGAGACTTATGGGATCGACATGTATCCATTCATCCATTCATCCATCATCCATCACCCATCCATCCATCCATCTATCCATCCATCCATCACACATCCATCCATCCATCCATCACACATCCATCTATCCATCATCCATCCATCCATTACACATCCATCTATCCATCATCC